CCCCAAAACCCCAAAACCCCAAAACCCCTGCTCACTAAAACTAATTGACAATAGATTAAATTTATATTGAATTATGCACTCTCAGAATACTCTCTCTTCAGTTCAGGCTGAGACAATCCAAGGTAAGAAAGGGTTTAGCGAGGCCTAATTTATTGAACTTCTGAAAATTCTGAGACTTCTAAAGGCAAGGCCTAATCTCATTCTCAAATTTAAGTTTTAAATTGGGTTTTCTAAAATCTGGTCTGCAAGCAATATTTTATTACCTCCCTGTGGTGTTAAGCACCACATGAGGACTAAACTTTCCCCAATATTAAGCTTCTGGAACATAAATTGAGCAAATGAGTGCGACTGGGTATATTTCTAGATATTTTATTAATTTAAGAGATGCATAATATATAAATGCACCAACTCTTGATTGGCTACAAATATTTCCTAGCTCTTGCTTTAGCAAATTGTTAATCTGCAAAGTGTTGGTTGCAAATCTTCAGAAAGCCTTTAGTTAATCATTTTTGTTCATTCAATATCGAAGAAAATTGTTTTAAACTTCTTAATTCTGCTCGAATACATCCGTATCCATGCTTTAATTTTTATTTCAGAGAAACAAAAGAATTTAGAAGGTCAGCACGAAGAACTTATCAAGGGTAAACCTCAAAAGATGGGAACAGTCCAGACCTTCTTCACCCTACTCAAAGGCTTTATGGGAACAGGGCTGTTATTCCTTCCGAATGGATACAGCAATTCTGGATGGATGTTTGGAACTGGTGCTATCATAATGAGCATGCTTGTTACCATGGTTTGCGGAATATTGCTCATCCAAGTATCTTCCAAATATAAAGGCACCTTCTCCGAGCTTGGATTCCTAGCCATGGGTACTCTCGGAAGGTATATCTGTGACCTTGTATTAGCACTCTCTCAAGCTGGCTTTGTGACAGTGCACATTGTATTTATTAGCCAGAACCTTAACAGCATATTTGAGTATCATTGGGGATTCACAATTAATATTTGGATAATGGGTCTCATCTTCTTTGTGATTTATACTCCACTTTGTTGGGTCAGAAAGATCCAAACACTTGGGAAATATCATATTTTGGGAGATCTGACTGTGCTCCTGGCAGCTGGAATGCTAGTTGCAGAAGCAGTATTGTTTTATGTACATCGTGGCTCGTTTGCAGATGACATTGAATCTTACAATTCAGATAAATATCTAGTCTTTCTAGGAACAGCTATCTTTATCTTTGAAGGAGTCGGTGTCGTCATCCCAGTCAGAGATGCTTGTAGGGACAAAGAGCACTTTCCAGCTATTTTTATGGCCATGATGCTTGTTCTAACTTGTATCTTGATCTTTTTCGGGTTCTTCAACTATGCTGTGTATGGAGATGAGCTTCTCTCAAATGCTCCTATGGTTACCAAAATCCTTAGAAAAGGAGATGTTGTGGTTGAGATTGTAATGGTACTTTTCATCATTAACCTAATTTTCTCATACCCTTTGGTTATCTATCCTTCCAACGTTGTTATCGAAAGCTACTCAATTGATAAGATGACTCCTTCTATAAGTAGAACCTGGCTCAGGAACCTCAGTAGAGCCTTGGTTGTATTCATCACCTTCTTCATTGGAATTTATTTTGAAGATAGTCTTGATAGACTCTTATCAGTGGTTGGTTCTCTGACCTGCACTCCGGTAGCCTTCATAATGCCAGCAGTGCTCCATCTAAACCTTGTAGCAAAGACCAGACTGGCCAAGACAATTGACTACTCCATAATCTGACTTGGAATCGCCTTACTTGTTGGAATAACCTCCCATACAATCTTGAATTGGGAATAAATATTTACATGCTCTATCTTGATAAGTTAGTGTGGGGTTTTGGGGTTTTGGGGTTTTGGGGTTTTGGGG